GCACATATATCACTGTGGTATGATTCTTTTAATTCTTTGGGGAAGATACCCAGCAGGGGAATAGCTGGGTCAAATGGGACTTCTAGACTTAGTTCTTTGAGGTATCTACATACTGATTTCCACAGTGGTTCCTGTTTCTGTATTTTGATTTTTCTTTGTAGCATCTATCACTTATGACACACCATTTATTTATTAGTTTATTCTGTCTGGCACTTAGACATATATGCGGGATACTGGTGTGCCTGTTGACTGCTATACTTCCCCTGTCGACCACAGTGCCAGGCACATGGGGCTCTCAAGCCTTTGTGGAGTAAACACATACATGTTAAGTTAGACCTGACAGCTGTACCACCCGACTCTTCTTTGGAACTAAAGCATGAATTTACTGAGCTGTTACCACGAGGGTAAGTGTTCTGGCTTATTGTCTAGTGGGGGTAAGTAGTCTGTGCTAATCTACATTGATTCATTTCACTAAAAAGCACTCCAGACATCTAAATTAGTCCTTATATTAATCTACTATTGAGGAGTCACTGAGAGAATAAAAGAGAGTTCACTAGACTTAGGATAATAAAACCACCTCACATAGAGTACAGTATATTTTTAGAAACAAAGCAAGGGTTGGAAAATGTGAAAATATTTTGTACTTACTCATCTGACATAATTTTTTTGCCAGGTGGTAGTCTCGGCCCATTTCAGCTCTGAGGAACTAGAAAACATAGAATATTTCAGAGAGAACTTGAATGTGAATTATAAACTTTCTAGAAAATATTCCATTAATGATTAGTTATGCAGTGTGATTGAAAAATATGCTGGATGTTTAAATTTTTTTAAAATGTACTACAGTAAAAAGCACATTGCCATTAATCCCCATAAAATACTCCCCTCTCCTCGCTTCAAACACACTTACCCCATTGTTCTTGCCACTTTCTGAAGCAGTTTTGGAAGTCTTTTTTCGTGGGTGTCTTTGGATGCACTGTTGTGGCTACCTTGAATCAATTTAAAACATCTACCTTACATGGTCATGGTCATTTTCACTTTGGAGAAGAGCCAAACTCACATAGTGACAGATCCTGTGACTAAGGTGGATGGAGACACACTGTAATGATTTTACGAGCCTGCCTTTCCATTGGATGGCACTTGGCAGCACCATGTACTGTATTTTTTATCACACCTTGTAAAGACATCATGAAAGAGGACTTCCATAACTGCTTCACAAAGTGGCAAGAATGATGGGATAAGTGCGTTTGAAGTGAAGGGAAGTGTTTTGAGGGAGATTAGTGGCAATGTGTCTTGTACTGTCATCCATTTTTGTTATTTAAGTACACACTAGTTTTTGATCAGCCCTTCTATTTTGCTTTAACATTTATACATGTTTTTCCAGAAGTGAGTTTTGAATCAATCAGTCAATCAAGGATATTTCAGGACCTCTGATGGCAAAGCACTTGGGATAGGTCCAACACCCCTGCTTTGCTGTAGTCACGCTCTAAATGTACTGTTGGACAATTTGAGAATGTGTTGGTTGATTTGATTGGCACAGGTAGTGATAACATGGCTATTTCAACATTCCTTTGGCTTACATTCAGGTTTCATCTGTGAACTTAATCCATGATAACATGACAGTATTTAGTTGAAAAAGTAATTGTACATTCAATATTTTTCAGTATTGCATCTATATAGTTTTTTATATCATCCAGTTTTGCTTATACTTTTTATTGTATTTTTCTTGTTAAAAAGCAATATGTATTTTTAATATATGAAATTAAAAGACTAGGGCCGGGGATTTAGCTCAGTGGTTCCGTCACCTGCCTCACAAGCACAAGGACCTGAATTTGATCCCCAGTACCAAAAAAAAAAGACTAAATAAATGCTTTCTGTTCCAAATTAAAAGTACCTATATTTCTACCATCTAGAGATGTTTAACGTCTTAGTGTAATCTTTTTAGTTTTTTCCTGTAAATGAACACATATATTTTTGTTTACAAAAATTAGCATTATTCATTAGTTTTTAAATAAATAAACTACATGTTCTGAGTGCCTTCTTTCTGTGCCATTAAATACTCTTTTATTTGAGGGAAGGGTGCTAGGGATTGAACCAATCCTAAGCATGCTAAGCATGCACACACTCTGTCACTGAGCTTACACCCCAGCCTGGCATTAAATATTCTTTTATAATCTTTACTTAGGCAACAATTTACTGAACTAATCTCATATTATGAGCTATTTAGACTGATTTAAAGAAAACAAAAAGCCCTTTACTTTGATGGTTATTCTTGTTTGTGTTTGGCATTTTCTGAACCCCATGCAGGTACCAGGGTTTTATTCTGCAAAGACAGCAGCATTGACCAATATAAAGATATTTCTCATACATTTCCAGATGTGTGATAAATACCCAGGTACCATTTTAAGTACTTTTCTACCACTTCGCTGTTTGTTCCTTAAGTTGTTTTTTTGTTTGTTTGTTTGGTACTGAGGATCAAACTCGGGACATTGCACTTTCAAGGTAGGTGGCAGAACAACTGAGCTAAATCCTCGGCCCTGTCCCTTAAGTTTTTGAAATCATTTTTCTAATATAAATCCAAGTCATTGGGAGATTTTTGCATAAATCATAATTTCATTTAAAAATCTCACTTATTTAAATATTAACAATGTTATATTAATGCATGCAATAAAATTCTTACATTTAAAAAATTTTGTCTTGTCTAAGCTTGAACATTTTAATTTTCATTCCTATTTGTGGTTTTATTCCATTTTAATCATATCTATTAGTTTACCTATGCATTTTTTCAATTATCTAGCTCTTGATATATTAACTTGGTTTTTACTTTGAATTATTAACTTGTTTCTTCAATTCTTTTTCTTGTTGCATTTATGTTTATTATTTTTACATTTTTCTGGCACTAATACTCCGTGCATTTATACTCACTCTTGTGTCATCATCATCATAATTATCATCATTGAAGCACTTTAAAACTTTAAGCTTTTAAAAATATTTTTAATATTTAGTGTGTGGCTACCATTATTTTCCAAATAGCTTAGTTTTGATTTTTCTTTTTAATTCAAATGTCATGTAGAAGAATATCTTTTCTCTTCAAGTAGTTTTAATTTGTTATTGTATTTTGTTATTGATGGCTAGTTTTGTTGATCATGGTAAGAGAAGTGATCAGTAGAATACAGTGTTTACAGTTTTGAAATCTTGCTTGCCAGTTGAATGTCTATACTCTTCAAGTTTCTAAGATTCTACAGTATTCTTTATCGAAAAATCTTTCTCCATTTTACCTCCTGCTTTCTTTTCTAAGTCATTTAAATCCCCCCTTTCCCAGAGAACTTCACAAACATTTTTCTAACATGCATTTCATTTTATTGTAATTATTTCTCTGTGTGTTGTTTTCAAGGACAAAACAGGTCTCTCTTATTTATCGCTACGTTCCCAGCAACCAGCATGGTACCCAGGATTCCCTAAAGCAGTCCCTGAAGGATTTTATGCCCAAACTTTTCTTACTCCTGCCTGTGCTGCACTGGAATATTGCCTTACACAGAATTTCTTTCATCTCTAACTTGGTAGCAGTAGTAAGAGAGATGAGTAGCCACATAAGCATCTGCATGTGGGCAAGGATCATTTTACTAATTTTTAAATCTTTAATTAATTAACACAGACTAACTTTTAATCAGTCTATCTAGTTATTTACTATGTAGTTATTTCAATATGTTAAAGTTTCTTAAATTAGAATATATACTACCTAGTTATTTCAATATTTTTAAGTTTTTAAAATTAGAATATATCAAAAAAACTCACTTCTGCCATTAACTCTAATGGGGCAGGAATATCCTTTTTAGGGTTACTGTCTTCATCATTGGTATCATCTTCACCATCATCATCCATTGATTTTGACAGTTTATCAGTATCCTGAAGGCAATAGTCATCAATTTTCTCCTGCTTTGCAATGACTGCATCTTTGCCCCCTTCACCTAAAACAGAACATATATAATTTAAGTAATAAACAATGAAAAGCTCAGAAGTCAAATTTGGCCAGATCCTACTAGCATCCATGCATCTAACATATATAAATAAAAAAATCATTGTAACGATCAGCATCATTCCCCTGAGCACTACATATATTAACTCACTTAATTCTCCCAGTATCTTCAGTGAGATTGTACTGTTTTTATTTCTATTTATGATGAAGAAATTAGAGTACGGAGAGGTACATGCTCAACTTCATGCAGCTAGTTAAGTGGTAGATTCTAGGAGTTAGACTGGCTCCAGAGTATAATTTTTAAATACAGATTAAAATAAATGTGAAACTATAAAGTAATTTTTAAAAACGTTTACTATGTGTCTCCTAAAATCATCTCCTTAGGAAACACTTGTGAGATTGCTGACTTTTTTTGTCTTTATGGAGTCTTTCATAGTTTCAGACTAAACTTGTGATACACGCATCTCTTTCTTGTAAGAGTTTGAGCACTTGGGAAGTATGGGAGATGCCCTCTTTTGTGGGAGGATGTGGGAGGATGGCCATGAGCTATTCTAAATAATGTAAAGGCACAAATGTTAAAAGAAAATAAGAAAATCCAGGAAAGCTCCAAAGAAGACGAGGTTAGGAAAACACACACACAAATAAGACTTCTGACTCTAAGGCATAAGTGGTACCCTGGAAAAGGACATGAAGCCCTTCCAAGGGTGTGACAGCTGAGTTATTCAAATCATCCATCTACCTGCTTCTGTCTCATTTACAATCTCCATTGCTTACAACCACTTCCACCCAGTCTGTGCCTAACTCACCACACTGATGTCATCAGGGGAGGTCACAATAAGGAATTAAAGAACCTGTGATGTCACAGGAACTGTCACATTCAATTCATAAATACTTGGCATCACAGAGAAGTTTCCTGATTCCTAAATCTAAACTAGTCCTTTCCCCTGACACCATTTAATTGTAGCACCTATGACAATTTGGAATTATCTTTCCTGTTTGTGTGCTTTTGTTATTAAGATTTATTATAAACAGCCACATAAAAGTTGCACATATTTATGGAGCACCATGTGATGCTGATACCTGTATACATTGTAGAATGTTTAAATAAGGTTACACATTTATCTTTTTTTTTTTCAGTGCCGTTCTTTTAATTTTATTTTCCCCCTCTACACAGCTATGCCACAAATCATTTCTTTTTTCTTTTATTCCTACCCAAGGCCTTGCTCATGTTAGGCAAGCACTCTGCCACTGACATACACCCCAGCCCCAAATCATTTCTTTTTTTTTTTTTAAAGTGGTTTGCAAATAGGTTTATTTAAAATCCAGAGCTTTACTATGTTTGCTGTCTTTATTCCAAGTATCTATTGAATAATGACTATAAAGTTCTGGATTAGAAGAAAATGACAAAGTAAAATAATGAGTAGCTAGGACAAAATTTATGGAAATACCGAGGACTTGGAAGTCTCTGGAAGGCCAAAGTAAAAAAAAATTTTTTTCCCCATTAAGTTTATTGGTACATTTTTGGTATAAAATACAGTTACATTCATCTTTGGGATCTTGTACCTTTACATGAGTATCTTGGTTCTTATTTTTTTCCCCTTCCCTTGCCCACCCTTCCCTATTTGCAAAGACCTTGTTTCCATTTTTTTTCCTCTTCTCATATTTTTCCCTTTCCCTTTTTT